CCAATATCATAGGAGGCCGAGAGAAGAGGCTTCTTATGGAGGTCAGCGGAACTTTGGCATCAAGATGTCCTAAAGTTCAAAGGAATTATGGATCCTGATGAATTTACTAACTGACTGCAATTCGTTGAATGGATTTTCGAATATAAAGATGTACCAAAAGACAATCGGGTAAAGCTAGCCGCTATTAAACTGAATAAAGGTGCTTCCGTATGGTGGGAAAATGCGCAGAGGCGGAGGAAGAGGAAAGGCAGTGAAAAGATCACTAAGTGGAAGAAAATGAAGAAATTAATGCAGAAAAAATACCTCTCACCCGACTATCATCAGAATGTGTTTCTAAAACTCCATAACTTACAGCAGAGCATTCAATTGAAAAGTTCACCGCCCAATTCGACCACAAGTAATCATTCAATTGAAAAGTTCACCGCCCAATTCGACCACTTTCAGATGAAATGCGAACTGATAGAAAACATCTCGGGGGTTTGAAAGTCGCCATCAACAATGTGGTACACTTACAACCATACTGGATGCTAGGGGATGCCCAAACATTAGCCTTGAAGGTGGAAAGATGACAAAAGCAGAGTCAGCAACAATCAACTTTCAAGCAACAACCATCAGGCGGGCTGTCACCTACAGTTACTACAACTGACAGGGATCTCTCTGGAAACATATACAAGCTTGAGCTGGAGAATGACACTACGGATTATATCAAGAAGAAACAAGAGAAAGGCAACCCCAGCACTATGTCGGCCAGGAAGTGCTACCAATGCCACGGTTATGGCCACATTACCCCCAGCTGCCCCTCGAGCAAGGTAATCAAACTCATAGATCAAGGCACCGTAAAAGAAATTAGTGATGAAGAGAATCGACGAATAAAGTGAGGAGAATCAGTTTCCCCCAGATAAAGGAGAAACGCTCGTGATTCGACGAATTATACAAACCGAGGACATGAGGAATTCGTAATGACTTCGCCACAACATATTCTACATCCGCTGCATAATGAACAGAAAGGTGTTCAGTCTCATCATCGACCGCGGAAGCAGTAAGAACGGAGCATCGACACTTATGACAAAGAAATTAGGACTCGCAACAAAGATACATTCAAAGGCATATTCACTGATGTGGTTGAAGAAGAATCGGATCAATATCAATCAAAGATGTTTGGTAGAATTTTCGATCGGAGGCCAGTTGCAAGACCAGGTGTGGTGCGCCGTGGTCCCTATGGATGTCTATCACCTTTTGTTTGGACGACTGTGGCAATATAACCGAAGTACTTAGTACGACAGATATAAACACTTATTCCTTCACTAAGGATGGGAAACGCATCACCCTCCTTCCTTCGACGAATCTGAGGTCACAGGATACCTTTCAACAGAACAGCGTCAGAAAAATCAGTTTTAGTAATGAAACCAGATAGGATGAAAGAGGCACCCGCCCCCGATACAGGGCAGACACGATCAAGGATATGTCAGAACAATGTCGCACCAATAGCATTACTGCCGTGCAAGAAGGATCAGATTACTCCTATTGCACGCCCATTTCAACTGATCGTAGGTTACTTTTGGAAGGCTCAACAGTATAAGTGTGGTCCACAGCCTCAAGAGGACAGGTCGAATGGTCATTTGCTCGCAAGATGGCTGATTATGAATCTAAAACTTCGACCAATGAAGTATAAGCTCCCTCAAACCCAGAAAAATGATGTGACCGCTGCCCTAACGCTCGATGCGGGTGTGTTGTTCTCGCGGGACAGAAGCCCCACAAACTTGCGGGATCGCGAGTTATTGTGACGACTGCAGAAGAGGTGTGAAGTCTCGCGTGACAGCGAAAAAAATTTGCGAGGGCAGAATCGCGGAACAGACTCGTGAACTGTCGTGATCCAGGAGGAAGCTTGCAAGCTAGTGCACTTGGGAAGACTTTTCTGGATTTTTCTACCCTCATTTTGTGTCGGAGCCTATAAACTGTTGTGCTAGGTATGTAGGGGGTTAGCTCTGAGTGTGTTTAGTTTCAGATCTCTATGTGGAGTCACTTTCCCCTTTGTGGGTTGTATCCGAGGAGGTAGTCATGCTCCAGCTGTATCCCCTTCATTTCAAGCCTCTTTTAGCTGCCACACGATTGTTGTCGACCAGCCACAACCCTTTCCCACTTGTTGTCCCTTTAGTTCCACACCTTCCCTTCGCTGCCACCAACACTTTATTGCCATTACCAACCCCGCTAGCTATCCTGAACAACCCCTCCGATCTCCACAACCTATTAGAATACATTTAGAAGTGTTGTTGGTGTCGTTTTGTGTCTATGTTGCTATTTTTTATTCGAGTCATGTTGTAACCCTATTTTAATATTAATGAATGTTTATTTTTTGTGTTTCCACTATTTTCCTTACTAATTCCAGTAACATTTCCTACATGTCATTGTAGACATGACCACATGACCTGTAAAACATAATAGTGAACAACTAGGCTCATTTAAAAGAATTTCATTTGCGAGTATATACCATGATTCACGAGTGCATGCTATCGACTGATACATTCATGATTTGCTTTTAAAAATTTAACTGTTGCTAACATGAAGCGGATTGAACTGTTTTAGTTTCAGTTTAATTTGAAAAGTTTATCATTCACATGAATGCATAGCTACTTGAAAGGTATGAAAGCTGATGGTGATAAACATTCATGTGAATGAACGTTCATCAAGACATGCACATAGCTTTGTATTTTGAGCCGATTATTAATTTCAATAAGTCAGCTAGGGATTTGCATATTTGGAAGTAATTATTAGGGGGTTTACAAGTCAGCTAGCTTGTATTGATTTGCATATTTGGAAGTAATTATTAGGGGGTTTAATATTCATTAAGCGTTTAAAACATTAGAAGTTATTTATCTTTAAACTATGTTCTTATTCAAGGGGGCCACACGGGGGATCAA